GAATGTGAAATGTGGAACTCGTAAGTGACAGGGCCTGGATTTGAACCCAGAAAACCTGACCGTTCACACTACTGCCTCCTGGAATATAGCAGCCTTCTGGAAAGACGTGCATTTTCTAGGTGATGTCTGAGCTCTGATTATAGGGATTCCTGAAACCTTCCCACGACCCTCTCCAAGGCCTGGGTAGCTCCTTGGGCCCATCGTCATTTGCATTTAGCACCATCTAGTGGAACCAGCACTAATCTGGAGCCTGACTGGCCGAAGTCACGCCCCGCTGCTGCGGCTCCCAGACTCACCTTAAACCAAGGAGGTGAATGAGAATAGGAAGATTTCACACGTGATGTGATTACGGCGCTTAGCACCACTGACTAATCATAGATGTCCAATAAACATCACCTCCTAGATGAGACTTACCTGCAATGGCTGCTTTCCGCTGGTTCCTCCGAGCCGGGTTCTGCCATGGGAGACTTGAAATATCAACTAGAGCAGTTAGGGATCCGTTTGGGACTACCTGGCACCAGCTCCTTACCAACCTCTGCTGTATGTGCCTGCTGCGGCTCCCAGACTCACCTTAAACCAAGGAGATGAATGGGAATAGGAAGATTTCACACGTGATGTGATTACGGCACCTAGCACCACTGACTAATCAATATGACCAATAAACATTACCTCCTAGATGAGACTTACCTGTGATGGCTGCTTTCCACTGGTTCCTCTGAGCCGAGTTCTGCCATGGGAGACTTGAAATATCAACTTGAGCACTGTTAGGGATCCATTTGGGACTACCTGGCCCCAGCTTCTTACCAACCTCTGCTGTATGTGGCTTCTTCTCCCTGGGAAGGTGGCCCTGCTCCTCCTAACCCCCCAGAGAGTAATGCTGCCATCACGTGACCCTGAGGCCCTTCACCGAGCTATTCCTGCACAAAGCTGCTGACAAAGGTTGTCCAGGTGTCTTTTTTACTAAGAACCACCGTTTCATATTGGCTGACAGCCAGAACCAGCTACATAATATGAGGAGCCCAGTGCAAAATGAAAATGAGGAGACCCTCGC